CTCTAAGTCAGAATCCAAGCTAGAAGTGAAGCGCGTGCCCGCCGCCTGATTGCCGACCCGCAGTAGGGGCCCATGGCACCCAAGGGCACGTGTCGTAGGTGCAGCCCCCATGACGGACGAGCCGCATGGGCCTCCTTGGAACTCAATTCCCACCGAGCGACGGGTAGAATCCTTTGCAGATGACTTAAATACGCGACGGGGTATTGTAAGTGGTAGAGTGGCCTTGCTGCCACGATCCACTGAGATTCAACCCTTTGTCGCTTCGATTCGTCCCTCCCCCCGTTGACCTTCTTTCTTTTCACGCCGCCCCCTCGGGGTTAGGCGTGACCCGGGGCCTCCCGTCCCTCGGTCCTGATCGAGAATGAAATTCGTTCACCTCGGTCGACCCCCGAAACGAGCGTGCGGGCACTGAACCGACCGCTGGGGGTGAGATGAGCGAGCCGACTGAGGATCCTGCTGTTGGTCCCCCTCGGTTGTTGCCCCAAACATCGTCGATAGCCTCTGGCCCTTGGTTGGTCGAGATCGGGAATGCACTATGTATGCCTAAGTCAACCCATGAAACGAGCGTGTGGGTGCTCAGTAGGCCAGAGAGCTAGAATGCGTAAGTCGAGGATCAACCCGATCCCCCTCTGCGTGCTGTCGATCAGCTGCGGGTCCCTCGGTCCGGTTGGGGCTTAGATCGGGAATGAACTCTACATGCCTAAGTCAACCCACGAAACGAGCGTGCGGGTGCTCAGCCGGCCAGAGAGCTAGGATGTACAAGCAGAGGATCGGCTCGATCCCTCTTTACATGCTACTACCGATCCCGCTGTCGGTTCATTCTTAGACTGGGAATGAACTCTGTATGCTTAGACTAGGAATGAACTCCGTATGCCTAAGTAAACTCATGAAACGAGCGTACGGGCACTGAGTCGATCGGACAGGCCAGCCAGAGAGGCATAATGCGTAAGTCAAGGATCAACCCGATCCCCCTCTGCATATTGTCGATCCCGCTACCGATCTTGCTGCCACAACCCTCGGTCCGACTGGGGCTTAGACATGGAATGAACTTCGTATGCCTAAGCCAACCCACGAAACGAGCGTGCGGGTGCTCAGCCGGTCGAAGAGGTAGAATGTGCAAGCCGGGGATCGGCCCAGTCCCCCTTACGTGCTGTCGATCCTGCTATCGCAACCCTCGGTTTGGTCTGATCTTAGACTGGGATTGAACTCTGTATGCCTAAGTCAACCCTTGAAATGAGCGTGCGGGCACTGAGCTGGCCGAAGAGGTATAATGCGCAAGTTGAGGATCGACCTGATCCCCCTCTATGTGCTGTCAATCCCGCTGCCACAACCCTCGGTCTGGCTGAGGCTTAGACATGGAATGAACTCTCTATGCCTAAGCCAACCCACGAAACGGGCGTACGGGCACTCAGCTGGCCAGAGAGGTAGAATGCGCAAGTCGGGGATCAGCCCGGTCCCCCCTGCGTGTTACCGATCCTACTGCCGTAACCCTCATTCCGATCTGATCGTAGACTGGGAATGAACTCCGTATGCTTAGAGTAGGGATGAACTCCATATGCCTATGTCAACCCACGAAACGAGAGTGCGGACGCTCAACCGGCCAAAGAGGCAGGATGCCCAAGCCGGGGATCGAACGGGTGGTAGTTGGGTTCAAGCACATCTTCATATTTCTGCCATGCCAATTCCATTTTTATGGCTTGTAAATTCATACAATGGTCCCCTAAGCCTTCATGTGAAGTTTCATGGCAAGACGACCCGTTTTCTATTTTCCATGATTTTTGAAACTTTTTACGGTTCAAGATTTTTTTAAATTTTTTTAGAAAGCGTTTTGTCCTCAAATTTGGTAGACGTGATCCTTGTATTTTTATTGGCATGCATAAAACAATTCAGCTAAAAACTCAAAGTGGAGAAGATTTTGTGACGTTGAAAAAGTGTCCCCATTTCAAACACTTTAATGGCTACTGGGCAGCAAACCTATAAAATCTCAAATGCTCTTTAAGGGGGTGTGAGTTTCAAGCTTTGATGAGGGAAGGGGGCCAATATAAGGGCCAAGTACCAACACCCATCGCACATCATGTGCGCACACCCCCCGGGCCCCCAATCGCCGAAACCCTCAATGCCGCCTGTTAGGCTCTCCGACGATGGTGCCCCGAGTGAAAAAAATGCTACACCAGCACACGCCCGAGCCTAACAAGTGCACCGTGGCTCAAAATGGAACTTCGGCCAAGGCCTCGACCATCAATGGCACATGATGGTGCAGGGTGATGGCACATGCATCGACCATCATCAGCACAGGCTGCCCTTTGGTACGGGCACTTACCTCGACCGCCATCGACACAAGCTGGGCCCTGGTGCAGGCGGTTGCCTCGATCACCATCGGCACATGCCGACCTTTGGTGTGGGTGGTTACCTCAACCACCATCGGTACAAGTCGGCCCTTGGTGCAGGCGATTGCCTCGACCACTATCGGCACAAGATGACCCCTGGTAAGGGCGGTTGCATCGAACACCATCGGCACATGCTGGGTCGTGGTACGGGCGATTACCTTGACCACCATCAGCACATGTCAAGCCTTGGTGTGGGCGGTTGCCTCGAACACCATTGACACCAGCTGGCCCTTGGTACAGGTGGTTACCTCGACACCATCGGCACAAGATGTCCCCTGGTGCGGGCGGTTGCATCGAACACCATCGGCACATGCTGGGCCTTGGTGTGGGTGGTTACCTCGACCACCATCGGTAGAAGATGGCCCCTGGTGCAGGCGGTTACCTCGAACGCCATCGGCATGTGCTGGGCCTTGGTGCGGGGGGTTACTTCAAGCACCATCGGCACTAGCTGGCCCTTGGTGCGGGCGGTTACCTCGACCATCATCGGCACATACTGGGTCTTGGTGCGGGCGATTGCCGACCACCATCGGTAGAAGATGGCCCTTGGTGCAGGCGGTTGCCTCGAACACCATCGGTACGTGCCGGGCCTTAGTGCGGGCGGTTACCTCGAGCACCATCGGCACTAGCCGACCCTTGGTACAGGCAGTTACCTCGACCACCATCAGCACAAGATGGCCTCTGGTGCTAGCGATTGCGTCAAACACCATTGGCACATGCTGGGCCTTGGTACGGGTGGTCATCTCGACCACCATTGGGACATGCTAGGCCTTGGTGCGAACGGTTACCTCGAACACCATCGACACATGCTGGGCCTTGCTGCAGGCGGTTGCCTCGACCACCATCGACAGAAGATGGCCCCTGGTGCAGGCGGTTGCCTCGAGCACCATCGATACAAGCTGACCCTTGGTGTGGGCTCTTACCTCGACCACCATTGGCACATGCTGGGCCTTGGTGCGGGTGGTTACCTCGACCACCTTCGGTAAAAGATGGCCCCTGGTGCAGGCGATTGCCTCGACCACCATCGGCATAAGCTGGCCCTTGGTGCAGGCGGTTGCCTCGACCACCATCTGCACAAGCCGACCCTTAGTGCGGGCAATTGCCTCGACCACCATCGACACAAGACGACCCTTGGTGTGGGTGGTTGCCTCGACCACCATCGACACATGTCAGGCCTTGGTGCGGGCGGTTGCCTCGAAAACCATCGGCATGTGCTAGGCCTTGGTGCGGGTGGTTGCCTCGACCACTATCGGTAGAAAATGGCACTTGGTGCAAGCGGTTGCCTAGACCACCATCGACACAAGCTGACCCTTGGTGCGGCTATTGCCTCAACCACCATCGGCACAAGATGGCCCTTGGTGTAGGCGATTGCGTCAAACACCATCGGCACATGCTGGGCCTTGGTGCGGGTGGTTGCCTCGACCACCATCGGCACATGCTGGGCCTCAGTGCGGGTGGTTGCCTCGACCACCACGGGGGGAGTAGGTGTGCGTGATGGGCCTCCCATTGCGTACACCCTGAGCAACGTCCCTCGAGTGAAATACAGGGCGTGCATGCCTTCCGACCATTTTATCCGACGACTGGTTGCTTCAGTGACCGGTAGGTACCCATGGCCTCAACCTGTTCGTGTGCATATGAAAAAAGGGAATTGAGCTCGAGCCCGTGCATGCAGCGAATGCTATCCTAGATCCTAGAACAAGTCCCTAAATCGGGCAACGGCTCCCTGGGGTGGTGCGAGCAGAAGTCGCGGTTGCGGGCTTGGCCCAGCCAGGTCTCTCGATATTTAATGGTCTCGCGGTCCCTTCTTGTCGACCACAAAAATGCCTAGGCCTCGACGAGGTTGTGCATGCAGCTGACACTGCCCGAGACCCCAGGAACAAGTCCCTGAATCGGGCAATGTCCCCCTAGGGTGGTGTCAGGGGAGCTCACGCGTGCGGTCCCGATCGGGCCAAGCATTGGTGGTGTCGCTTTGTTGTTGCCTGTCGGATGGCAGGGGTAGTCTCATGGCCCTTGCTCATGTTTTTATCGTGCCAAGCGATTGTGACGTGGCCTTGCACGTCATTTTCTCCGCTCACTCATCGAGTAATCGATCGGGTGGGTTGTGGACCGGCGCGCATGGATGCTGCCATTTGTATGCAATGGGCATATGAGTGGTGCTTTGGTTGTGCGTGTTGGCAGGCTCCATGCTCGATGCATCAAACTGTTGACTCGTCATCCTCTTCAATCTCTCCCCATGCGGTCGTCGTACCCAGGGGGCGTGATCGGGATCCTGTGTTGCATACCTAAATCGATGGAAACTGGATGTCTCGCCATCCCTCATCTGTCTCATGTCCTGAGGGGCCACGGGTCGAACGTCAATCGTGGCCGGTGTCCTAAGCACGCCAGCCAATCCTCCATGGCCACATTGGTGCATCGACATTCGATCGTGCTCTCGGATGCGGAACGTTTAGCGGGCGCGGGCTCTCGGCCCCCATTCGTTCGATGCTACGCATTTCACGTGCTCGACACACACGACGCTTGCACTCCGCGTCGGGCTCTCTCCACCGCTCGATCAGTACGTCGAGGCCCATACGGTGCCAACGTCTTGAATGAATGCTACCTGCTTGATCCTGCCAA